TTTTAAGTACAAGACTGTTTTGAACCCATTCCAGCTTTAGAGAAGTGAGATGGGTGTAGGTTGTCCGTGTGTGGAATGTGAATGGAGGGTTGGACACGGAGCATACGCTTTGCCTGTGGAGAATGTGACCCGGTCCTCAGTACTGAAGCCATGTTAGGGGCACTTCCTGGAGTGATGACACCCTTGCGAGATACGGTTTGAGTCTGGGATTATTGGTCCTTTATTTTTAACTCTGGGAGGCATGTGTTGTCGCTATTTTAGTAAGTCTCTGCATCCAGTCCACCCCAAAAATGATTTTTCTGGGAGCTGCAATCATTGTTTGTAGAGGGTGGTGGCGGTAGGGGCTGGTGAGCATCATGTTTTGCTGCCTCTCGGTTATATTTAAAGAGACGTTGTTTTTGACCTGTGTGCCTATTCCTCAGTCTGTCACACTGACGTGACCAGTCCTGCAGATGGAAACTTTCTGGACACAAGCTTCACTTTCTGGACACAGATTATTGGGTATCCTTCTCCCTTCAAGGTATGTGAAGGACGCTCCAGCCCACAGTTACGTGACGTTGGTCATTAGGTGCCTTGGGAGGGCTTCATGGAGGCAATGCTGACTTTAGGAACCTGACAGGCTTATTTTCTTTTTGTTTTTTATATTTTTGGAGTTTAAAGCATGGAATCCCTACTTTGCCTGCTTTACTTATGGCAAATTTTTGATGAACATTCACTTTTTTTTGTTTTATTTTTTTTCAGAATCAAATGCTACTTTGGAAACGCTCTTGACCGTGAAATCTCCATTAGGGAAGAGACCTTAGGGTTACTGCCACCCAGACGAGTGACAGCAGAGCAGACCCCAAACCTACGCGTGCCTACGTAGGAGTTCCATCTCTGGATGTGAAGTGGCGGGGGTGGGCCCTGCGCTTCCCACGTGGGACTCAGAGCACTCACCTGCTTCCATTACCTTCTCTCTTTGATGAGTCATGTTTGGGTTTGTGTTCTCCAGGGCTGTTCCAACTGTTCGCATCTAAAAGGTGGATGTTCCTGCTATGCTTACAGGATTTATGGTTAATCATAGAGGAAAATCCACATTGTCAGTATCTAAGGCCGCTTTTAAAATATTTCTGAACATTTCTGAGAGGAAGGTTAGCCCCTGGCCCCATGCAGAGAGTGATGGAAGGTGGATCCCAGAACCTAAGCTCTTGTTAGCAAGGTCTGTCCTGGGACATGTGTCCTCCGCAGGGCGCACGTCACTGCTGCTAGCCCGGGAGGCCCCTGCCGACTGCACCTGTCCTGTGCTGTCTTTAATCTTGATAGATTGTGCTTAGGTTCATGCTTTCCAGGACTCAATCCTTCTTTGGTATTTAAAAGGTGGATATTCCTTCTATGTTTATGTTATTTATGGTTAAACATAGAGGAAATTCCACGTTTTCAGTATCAAATGCTGCTTGGAAACATTCCTGGACTGAAACCACCATCAGGGAAGAGACAATAAAGTCCCCCCCCTCAATCCAGGGTAAGTGGAAAGTCGGTGGACCCCAGAACATGTGCTGAATTCGTGCCATATGTCTGTGGACCACCTGCCCATCTTGAGAAGACCCCTCTCGCGAGCTGCCCGCTCAGCCAAGCGGCTGGGCTCTG